CTTCAAGAAAGAAAAGGGAAACAAAAAGGAAAATAAGGGAAGCGGATACCGTAATTACAAAAAGGCCCGCATTTCTCCGGTGATTGAGATGAATAATAATAAATATGCAAACTCGTCGGCCGAGGGCGACGGAGGTGATTTGAGCATGAATGGATTAACGATTGGAGGTGGAGGGTCATTAGCGTACAAAGGCCAGAAGATGATGAGTTGTAGCGGCCGCGGCGGTGGGTCATCGTCGGTTAGGAAATTGCGGAGATACACATCGAGAAAGGCAAAGTTGGCTACTCGTTCTTTTAGGCTTAGATTGTCAACCATTCACGAAGGCTCCGTCCTCTGATCAATTCCCTATGATTCAGTTTCACCCTCGCTAATTACTTCCGGTTTTGTAAATTTATAACCGTATATTGTACATTAAAAAATGGTAAGAGTATACAAGTCATCAATTTAGTTATTGATAAATTAAGATTGAGAATTATGATTTGCCACCTTAAATTTGGGCTCAATTACAACTTTATACAATATCTTAAAAACATTTCAATCGTACATTTACTTTTATTTCATTTCAATTTCATATATCTCTTTACATTTATTTCATTTCAATTTCATACATCCGTCAGAAAATTTGTCAAGTTATTCGTTAAATAATGATGTGACAAATATGAGATTTACATTGATACTGACGTGGCTACCAACATTACAGCATGTGAATAAAAAACAAATAAAAAAGATTAATTAATAGAAAATCAATTTTTATTTGGAAGTTTTAACCAAAAATTCGCGGTACTATTTATTTTAATGAAAAATTACATTTTTACACACAAAAATCAAACCTAGTACTATTTATTTTACCCTTTATTTTATCCTTAGAGCAACTCCACCGGAGGTGGACTTGCCCAGCACCAAGTCCAAATAATAGCCAGGCACCCAGTCCATTTGCTCCAGCCCGCAACACAGCCCAGCACCCAGCCCAAGCCAGGCAGCAGGCCAGCCCATTTCGGACAAACCCAGAAGCCGGTCCAAAAGGCTGGCGCGTGCACAACTCTCGTGACTGGGCGCAAGTAGCCGACAGTGTTGCAGGCGGTGGGGCCCGCGTGCAGGGCAACTTGCATTCGAGTCCCTTCTCCCAAATCGTCCTAATTGGTCCCTTCGTAAACTCCTTTTATTTGGGTTTTACAACAATCTCGTTATTCATTTAGCCTATATAAGAGGAGTACTAACACCGGGTCATTGTTCACAGCCGTACTGGAAATTCTGATGTGGAGCTCTCATTGCAATGCATAACATGTTAATAGCACATGGCATGGCCGCATTATAGTATGTATTAATTACTGCAACTTCTTCTTCGAAGAGTTTCTTCTTTCTATTGTTTTTTATTTTGGTAACAAAAACAAATTTATACAGCTCCGCATGGTAACGAAATAGCAATGCAAAGTAAGATAAACTATTCAAACAGATATAGAATGTACATACAACGCGCGCTATGTTCGTGGCAGATGTAAACTTCCTCCTCACTTTCTTCTCCCGAACTTCCTCTCCACTATCGATCCCCCTTACACGAAGGAAGAAGACAATGATTTTTTTCAGGGCCTCAAGGTTTTATTTCTCCATCTTTTTCTTTGGTTTTGACGATTTTTCCTCTCTTTAGTTTTGTTTTCCCTCTTTTCAGTATTTAATTCGGGTTTTTTATTTTTTTTTTATGTGTAATCAAGTTTTGTGATCTTCTTTCTTTTCAATATGTAATTGGGTTTATGTATGTTTTTGGAGTATGGGTTTCTCCCCTGCACATGTTGCGTTCTTGAATTACTTCCATTATTGCGTTACAACTCTTTTGTTATTTTCTTATATTATTGGATATTTCAGTTTCTGATTGCATGAATCTTGCAATCGACTTTAATTTGTAGAAACATGCTGATTCACTCTTTTCATTCTCTTTGTTTCTTTGTAGATTTATGAAGAAGGATTTGACTTTGAAAAATCACTTTAAGCACTAGAAAATTTATCTTCCATTGATAGGTTTTCAGAATGTTGGATACCAAAAGTTGAATCATTTATTCTCAAATGGTAGTTTATTGACTTGCTTACTAATTAGTACGGTACATTGGCAACATTCGTTAGTTAGATTCAGTGAATTTTATATGAAATTGGAGCGTGCATGATTCCTTTGTCCACATCATGCATGCCAAAAGCTCTACTTCACAGCATGGTACGTGTGACGTAAAGAAGAGCTTGAAATATCTTTTTAGTTCTCAATTAGGTCATCCTGTAAAGCTTCCAAATCCATTTCTTAATTCATGTCTATTTTCTTATAGGTTGTGCTACAAAGTTACCTATTTTTCATATCAGATTTTATTTTGAATTTTTGTGTTTGTAAGCATTAACAGAGTCTGCAGTAGACATGAAGTCAGATGACGTTATGTAAACTTCCACCCCCGTTCGTCAAAAGGTGTGTGGATTCTTCATTACACCAATTACAGGTATGCCTCTGATTTTCTCATACTATTTCCAGTTTTCGGTATCGCACATAGGAAAGTATAGAGTTCTTGATTTCTCATATTGCCTTCATATGTCGAATGTCATCTGAATTTAGTTGTAGTTAATTTGTCAAAATTTGTTGTCGTTAACTTCTTGAAATGACAGCCTTAGTGTTTGCCCAGCAAATTTTGTGAATTCCAAACTTCGCTTATAATTGTAGTCACGTAAAAATTTCCAATTGGATTTGTTCCTCGGCCATACTAATATAAGGCTTTTTAGCTTAAATGGCCTTTGAGATGTACATAACACATCATTTTGGTCTCTGAGATTTGAAATCAATAGAAATGGTTCGTGAGATTGTCAACCATCAATCATTTTGGTTCTTTCGTGCTAAATTATATTAAATAATGATCAAAATAACAACTATACCCTCAATTTAGTAAACAATGGGTCAAAATGATTTGACAAAAATTAAGGGTATTTTGGTCATTCTATTCTTATTTAATGGAGATTTTTCAAGGAATGACCAAAATGATTGATAGTGGACAAACTCAGGGACTAATTCTATTGATTTCAAATCACAGGGACCAAAATAATGAGTTATGCAAATCTTAAAGACCATTTTAGCTAAAAAGCCCTAATATATAATAGTTGTTCTTTTGCTTTTATGTAGAATTAAGAAGATTGTTTTGCCTGCTCCTTCTGTTTCATGAAGTTACCAAGAAAAAAGTACTTTGTGATCATTTTCTTTTCGTCTTTTATAGTAAAGTGATGTGTAGATAAAATTTGTCTTTTATATTATTGTAATAATGTTTGTATAGTTCTGTATACCAAATGAAGGATGTGAGTTCCACATAATATAAAAAGATCTTTACAAAAGTGTAATACAAGGCTACCACATGACATGTGGTTTTGACATACATAAAACATCGTAGAGGCACGTAGCGCCTGTAATTTAAAAAAAAAAAAAAAAAAGGCCTCTCGCATGCACTAGAGTGCGTGCGGAGAGGCTAGTATGAAATAGAAAGCCCAAAGGCAGTTCAAATACAAGCTTAGTCCAAAGAAAATACAACAAAAATGTCCAAAAAGAGCAAGCCTATAACAACAAAAACCCTAAATTTGGAAGACTACTACCTCCACCTCAATAGCTGCGCCGCCATTGCTCATTCGCCACCACCAACAAGAGGAAGAACCCACGAACAAGCTGGACAAATCGAAAATGGGGGTGAGCGAGCCACCCGCACAAAAGACGCTCCCATAATCCTACCAATTAGTACTAAACGCACTTTAATAACCACCAAACACCAAAATGCGCAACCGATGAAAGACATGCTATGGGCCGAGTATCAAAGGTTGACGGTGAAGAACTGACAACGGGAAGAAGCAACAGAGGAAGAAGGGGGCATAAAAGCCCAGATCTAAGATAGGAAACTCAAAATTAAGAGAATTACTAGAAAGAAGGAAGATAAATAAGCCTGAAAAAACTGTGGAAAGGTGACCAAAACTATGGGAGGCAAGAGAGAGGCTGGGTAGAATTAGGTTGGTGTTTGGGGGGGGGGGGGTGTGGGTGGTGGGGAGAGGTTGGTAGTGGGCCATAGGGGAGAAAGAAAATGAGGAAGAGAAGGCGTTGCCAGCCGACCCAATCAAAGAGAAAGGTCGGCAATGAAGCAGGGGATTTTAAGGGGGGTTTCTGTGCGAGGGAAAAGAGGATGACTAGGGTTACTGGTATTATGTACTTTTGACATGATTTAAACAAAAAACCAACTTATATTTGTTCGCATAGTCACAATGGTAAAAATTGCTCCACCACCACAATTTCTAAATGCAACAATAAATGTGATACAAAAAACATTATTAATGCAAAATGTATGAAAAACCAAGTCTTGAAAATAAATGAGAAATGTGCAAATCCACCAGTCCACCACTTGGATTGCCATTGAAACACCTCAAATATAGAGGAAAATTTGATCATATTATTATTACACGACCAATTGCATAATTTTTTGCACACAATATTTTGTACAAATTTACATTCTTTGTAACAGCCAACAATCTCCAGTGCCCGCCTGGAAATTTTATACTCTCCCTTAATACCTTTCTCTGCTGTGGGCCCCATCTGCGTTCGGATCCGACGGATTGTATTTAATCTTCCTCTGCGTCAGAAAGCAGCACAGGAAACGCGAGCCGTCCGTTGGAGGAGCCTTCAACACCTGGCTTCTTGTTCCCGCCAATTCGCTGATCGTGTTCAGCTCCTTCAGAGGCGGCAACGGCGTCTCTGGTGATGACGCCGCCGATTCGCTCAAGTCCGAGTTTTCCGTCGATTCAGTGCAAGAGTTCTCCTTCGAATCGCTGGAGTAATTCTTCGATCTGTTCGTCATGCTGTCGCGTCGCCGGCGCCGGAAGCTCTCTCCCATTCCCATCAGGTCGCGGTACCCGATCGCAGGCAGCTCGCTCACCGCAGGAGCCAGACTCGAGCCGCCGATCACCAACGCGGCCACATTCAACACCCCTCGGAATGTTCCAGAAGGTCACCAGATTTGGATGGCCGTAAACGATGGAATGGTGGACGAGACATCGAGAAAGTTGTTGATCAGAAATCGGACGGTGCCGACGAGGTGATCGCGGAAGCATCCGACGGCATAGATCTGGACCGAGACCTGGGAAGTCTCGCTGGAGAGGAATCCGGACGGGACCTTGAAGAGGCACCGATCATTCCATGTTGGATTCTCACCGCCCACCTTGTCGACCCGAGAGCGGATCTTGTGGGCGGAGTCGACCCAGGCGAGAGCGTAGGTCTGCATGCGGCGGAGGGTGACGGAGGGAGCCTTGAGACCCTGGGCGGAGACGAGGTTGATCTCCAAGACGTGCACACGATCGTCGTCTCCGTTTTCTTTCTTCATCATCCTCGTCGTCGGTTCTCAGGCGGAATTGGAGGGCCGAGATACGAACGAGAAAGAAGGGGAAGAGAAAACGGACGGCCTTGATGAGATTCAAAAACGGGGACGTCGTCGGCGCATGGCTTGCCGGTGGAGGGAGAGAGGCGAGAGGGAGAGGAGGGGGCGGGAGGAGGCGCAGTAAAAAAACAGAGAGTTTGGAATTCCTGGAGGGATATAACCGATAGGATTTATCCGTCATTAACTGAATGATGTGTCGAATATAATTTATCCTACGTAATAGCTTATTAAACCGTCACTATCATTCCACACCTAAAGCTAATACACTGTAGGCCTCATCCCTACCAACCATACATCCTCACCCTTCTTCCCAACAATATTCACCTGCTCCCCCGCTTCCTTCACCACCAAAACCACAACCCACTCCCCCACTGCCATCTTCTCCGGGCAAATTTGGGCTTTTGGTTGGTCTTCTGATAAATTTTTGAGATGAACAGAAGCAAAGATAATGCTTTGAAATGTAGGAAAGATGCTTTGGAAGCTGGGGTTCAAACCTGTGCCTAAAAATTCCTAACCAAAGCTCGTCGTCTCGATTCGACGCTACCCATCAACGATTGACGGCAATTCCAATTCCTAATCAGGTTCAGATGTCGATGGCTGCGCTACCGGGGCATCTTGGTTGGATTCAGGCAGTGGCGTCGTACATGGCGGAGCAAATTATGATGGTGCTGACTCAAGCGTACGTGGAAATGGACTCAAGCTCAGATATTGTAGAGTAGAAGATGGAGATGGAGAGAGAGAGATGCTGGAGAAGTGGAGAAGATGGGGAGACGATGCGGAAATGTTTTCATTGTGTACAGATGTACGTGTCAATATTTGATGTTAGGTTCTGTTTACAGTTATTTTTGGGTTGACGAGGTTTTGATAAATGGTCAATGGTCAACGGTCAACTAGTTTGTGTTAACTGTTTAAGGTGATTGAGCTGGTGGGGTATCGTCATTGTCTGTATCTGGTGTGTCTTGGTTGGGCGGCTTTCAGACCTTATTCAATTCTTGTACCAGGGTTACTTTTTCTTGCATCCCAAGCCAAGCACGTGTTTGATACATAGCGCATCACAAGTTGACTGGAGGGAGAGAGAGAAATTGAACCGCATCTTGACGTCATCGCTTACGAGGAATCGGGCGTCATCTGCTTGTTCTAATTTGCTGAAAGAAAAATAGGAAAAGTCTCAAAATTTGAAAACTCCGCTTGTCCTTTCCTGCTTTACGACCTCGCTTACGCAATTCCCATTCCCTTTCCCTTTAGGCTTTTGCAGCCACTTCGCACCTGCCACACAATTTCCTCTCCTGTCCATTTCCTTTCTTTCCAAGTTAATTTCCTCTCTATTTCTTTCCTGATTTCCTCTCTATAGACCACCCCTTCTCCTCCACTAGTCCTCCTCACATTTCTCTCTCTCTCTCTCTCTCTCTCTCTCTCTCTCTAATCTTGCTCAGTGCCTTGCCTGGCCTTGTGCCTCATCAGTCGCTCAGTATTGTGTGGAAGTACATAAGATATAATGGGTGGATGCTGGTCTATAGTCCTCGTCAGGGGGACTAGTTCTAGCGGAAGAGATGATGATGAATCGTCGTCCACTGCCAAAGTAATCTACATGAACGCAAGTGTCCACGAATACCCGGTTCCCCTTAATGTCTCCGAAGTCCTTGAGGCCGACCAATCGTCGTCTTTGTTTATATGTCATTCCGACAGTTTGTATTACGACAGTTACATTCCGGCATTAGATTCCGAAGATCCGCTGGAGGCCAATCAGATCTACTTTGTACTCCCCAGATCCAAGCTTCAAAGCCGCCTCAGTGCCACCGATATGGCGGCCCTGGCGGTTAGAGCCAGCCTCGCCCTCCAGAAAATTAATACCAAAGCATCTTCTTCTTCTTCCTCCTTCAAGAAAGAAAAGGGAAACAAAAAGGAAAATAAGGGAAGCGGATACCGTAATTACAAAAAGGCCCGCATTTCTCCGGTGATTGAGATGAATAATAATAAATATGCAAACTCGTCGGCCGAGGGCGACGGAGGTGATTTGAGCATGAATGGATTAACGATTGGAGGTGGAGGGTCATTAGCGTACAAAGGCCAGAAGATGATGAGTTGTAGCGGCCGCGGCGGTGGGTCATCGTCGGTTAGGAAATTGCGGAGATACACATCGAGAAAGGCAAAGTTGGCTACTCGTTCTTTTAGGCTTAGATTGTCAACCATTCACGAAGGCTCCGTCCTCTGATCAATTCCCTATGATTCAGTTTCACCCTCGCTAATTACTTCCGGTTTTGTAAATTTATAACCGTATATTGTACATTAAAAAATGTTAAGAGTATACAAGTCATCAATTTAGTTATTGATAAATTAAGATTGAGAATTATGATTTACCACCTTAAATTTGGGCTCAATTACAACTTTATACAATATCTTGAAAACATTTCAATCGTACATTTACTTTTATTTCATTTCAATTTCATATATCTCTTTATATTTATTTCATTTCAATTTCATACATCCGTCAGAAAATTTGTCAAGTTATTCGTTAAATAATGATGTGACAAATATGAGATTTACATTTATACTGACGTGGCTACCAACATTACAGCATGTGAATAAAAAACAAATAAAAAAGATTAATTAATAGAAAATCAATTTTTATTTGGAAGTTTTAACCAAAAATTCGCGGTACTATTTATTTTAATGAAAAATTACATTTTTACACCAAAAAATCAAACCTAGTACTATTTATTTTACCCTTTATTTTATCCTTAGAGCAACTCCACCGGAGGTGGACTTGCCCAGCACCAAGTCCAAATAACAGCCAGGCACCCAATCCATTTGCTCCAGCCCGCAACACAGCCCAGCACCCAGCCCAAGCCAGGCAGCAGGCCAGCCCATTTCGGACAAACCCAGAAGCTGGTCCAAAAGGCTGGCGCGTGCACGACTCTTGCGACTGGGCGCGAGTAGCCGACAGTGTTGCAGGCGGTGGGGCCCGCGTGCAGGGCAACTTGCGTTCGAGTCCCTTCTCCCAAATCGTCCTAATTGGTCCCTTCGTAAACTCCTTTTATTTGGGTTTTACAACAATCTCGTTATTCATTTAGCCTATATAAGAGGAGTACTAACACCGGGTCATTGTTCACAGCCGTACTGGAAATTTTGATGTGGAGCTCTCATTGCAATGCATAACATGTTAATAGCACATGGCATGGCCGCATTATAGTATGTATTAATTACTGCAACTTCTTCTTCGAAGAGTTTCTTCTTTCTATTTTTTTTTATTTTGGTAACAAAAACAAATTTATACAGCTCCGCATGGTAACGAAATAGCAATGCAAAGTAAGATAAACTATTCAAACAGATATAGAATGTACATACAACGCGCGCTATGTTCGTGGCAGATGTAAACTTCCTCCTCACTTTCTTCTCCCGAACTTCCTCTCCACTATCGATCCCCCTTGCACGAAGGAAAAAGACAATGATTTTTTTCAGGGCCTCAAGGTTTTATTTCTCCATCTTTTTCTTTGGTTTTGACGATTTTTCCTCTCTTTAGTTTTGTTTTCCCTCTTTTCAGTATTTAATTCGGGTTTTTTATTTTTTTTATGTGTAATCAATTTTTGTGATCTTCTTTCTTTTCAATATGAAATTGGGTTTATGTATGTTTTTGGAGTATGGGTTTCCCCCCTGCACATGTTGCGTTCTTGAATTACTTCCATTATTGCGTTACAACTCTTTTGTTATTTTCTTATATTATTGGATATTTCAGTTTCTGATTGCATGAATCTTGCAATCGACTTTAATTTGTAGAAACATGCTGATTCACTCTTTTCATTCTCTTTGTTTCTTTGTAGATTTATGAAGAAGGATTTGACTTTGAAAAATCACTTTAAGCACTAGAAAATTTATCTTCCATTGATAGGTTTTCAGAATGTTGGATACCAAAAGTTGAATCATTTATTCTCAAATGGTAGTTTATTGACTTGCTTACTAATTAGTACGGTACATTGGCAACATTTGTTAGTTAGATTCAGTGAATTTTATATGAAATTGGAGCGTGCATGATTCCTTTGTCCACATCATGCATACTTCACAGCATGGTACGTGTCACGTGAAGAAGAGCTTGAAATATCTTTTTAGTTCTCAATTAGGTCATCCTGTAAAGCTTCCAAATCCATTTCTTAATTCATGTCTATTTTCTTATAGGTTGTGCTACAAAGTTACCTATTTTTCATATCAGATTTTATTTTGAATTTTGTAAGCATTAACAGAGTCTGCAGTAGACATGAAGTCAGATGACGTTATGTAAACTTCCACCCCCCGTTCGTCAAAAGGTGTGTGGATTCTTCATTACACCAATTACAGGTATGCCTCTGATTTTCTCATACTATTTCCAGTTTTCGGTATCGCACATAGGAAAGTATAGAGTTCTTGATTTCTCATATTGCCTTCATATGTCGAATGTCATCTGAATTTAGTTGTAGTTAATTTGTCAAAATTTGTTGTCGTTAACTTCTTGACACTAGTAGAAAAAACACTTTGCGTGACGTAGGTACCTTCGTCGTGCAAAGTCAAAAATCGTTGCCTAAGGGTTTGTGCAACGCAACCTTCGTCGCGCAAAAACCGTCGCACCAAGACGGTGACAGTAGAGTTTGCGCGACGAAGATATAACCTACGTCGCGCAAAGACGCTTTGCGCGACGTATGTCCTACATCGAGCAAGGCCACTTTGCGCGACACAGAACCTACGTCGAGCAAAGTGTCCTTGCACGACGCATGTTCTACGTCGAGCAAAGAGTCTTTGCGCGACATAGGACCTATGTCGTGCAAAGTGGCCTTGCGCGAGGCAGCACGTACGTCATGCAAAGTGTCCTTGCGCGACGCATGGTCTACGTCGAGCAAAGATCCTTTGCGCGACACAGGACCTACGTCGTGCAAAGTGGCCTTGCGTGACGCAATACCTACGTCGAGCAAAGTGGCCTTGCGCGGCGCATGACGTACGTCGAGTAAAGGATCTTTGAGCAACTCAGGGCCTACGTCGTGCAAAGTTGCCTTGCGCGACGCCACCAACGTCGCGCAAACCTCTTTTTTTTTTTTTTTTATGTTTTATTCAAAACTAATTTTTTTTAAAAAAAAAAAAAATTTGATAAATATATTACAATTAAATTGTAAAGAATAATTAATTAACCAAGCAAAAGTATTTAATTATAAAATATATAAAAATGTACATAGAGGATGTCCAAACAAAAAAGAAAAAACTACAAGTGAACTAGGTATAAAACATCAAGCTACTGAGTATCGGGAGGGTGAGGTGGCGCTGAGGTCGAAGGTGGATCAAGATGAGGTACTGGTAGCGAGACTTGTAGGCCAGCCGTCTGTATGGCTCGTACAAGGTCTCTCACCGTCTCAGCATAGGTCCTCACCTCCTCGTTCTGGGCCCTCAGCTGCGCTTTCATCTGATCGTCCTGGGCCCTCATCTGCTCCCTCATCTGATCGCTTTGGGCCCTCATCTGCTCCCTCATCTGCTCGCCTTGGGCCCTCATCTGCTCCCTCATATGCTCTTCCTGCATCGCAAGCTTACCCTTTAAGGTTGTCACTTCCTCCATCAATGCATCAACCTCTGCTGTGTTCGATCTGGAAGAAGAGGCACCCGTCTGACGAACTCGTGATTTCCCCATACCCCGAACAACTTGGCCATGACGACCAAGGTTCTGATCCAGGACTTCAGTCATGATCTGAAAACCTACATCCTCTGGTACCATGACCTCCTCGATCGAAGTCTCTGGGGGAAGCTGCGATGCTGCTTCTTGGAGAACAGCAGTGCTCTTTTCCACCATAGTATCCTGTAATAATGAAGAAAAAACATATAATGTTTAATAACAAAATATAAATAATATTTGAACAATTCATACATATGAGAATAATAATAATAATTACATATACTTACATAAAACTGCTCAGCGGTTTCATTACCAGGGCGAACGTAAACGTCCTTGAACATGTCGATCTCTGGGAACTTAGAACCCTCCTGAAGAAAAAAAAACATTAAGAAAATTTTATTAATCAATAATAATAAATAAATTGTATAAAATTTCAAGGTTAATATAGTTTTACCTGACGTCGTTCCTCAAGCCTATACGAAAAGGGCTTCGAACCAGAATGGTGGAGAAGTATCTTTGACTCCCGAGCTTTCTGGCCAGCAACAGATTTCTTCTGTTAAACACACAATATACATGTTAGTGCGACTATTGAAATAAATTAATAAAAAAAGCTTTAAAGAATAACTAAAACAATAATAAATTATTATTAAAATATTATGTACATACCACAAAATTTGGGTCCGTAAAATGCTTGCAGAGCCACTCCCAATCCTCAGGCCGGTCCTTCAACTCGCTTGGAACATGTAAGCGAGCAATCTCCAGATTATCCCATTTCTTAAAATAATTGTGAAAATTGTTCTTCCAATGTTTGTACCGGATTGATAAGGTCCTCTCTAAGTAGGCCATTGCCTTGAGGGATATGTCATCAAGATCATAAATGAACTACGAATATGAAAAATAATAAAATAATAGTAAGAAATTTAATAATATTAAAGATAATATATTTTGATTTTTAATATTTGTAAACAAAATTAAACAAAATGATAAAGGCTAAAAATTAATATACTAACCGACAACTCGTGTCGCACCAGTTCCTTTGTGTCCTCGGGAATTTCTTCCCAAGACTCCCACTGAAAAGGACAATTGTCTCGAATAACAACACCACAGCTACTAGCGATGAAGCTATGCTGCTGTGAGGTAGCCGCTCCACGATGTCGCAAGTCATACACAATCTTAATCTTGGAGGCGGTCTTACGTACGTTTTGTTTCTGCTTCAACATTCGACTAGGCCCCCTGGTGTTTTTTTTAGCTGGCCAAAAATACTTAAATAGTGAAAACCTTAAGCTTAAATTTGTACAAAAAATTCGACACAACCTCCCCTAATAGTATAGCATTTTCCAAAATCTTAAAATAATAAAATAACAGTAATTCACAACTTGCAACACATTTTTACAATCGAACATATTTTCACCATCATAAAAATAATAATTTTAAAATGAAAAAAAAAATGCAACGTAGTGAGAATTAGAAAAAAGGTACCTGGCTGGGAGGCCTCACCCTCGACTCTGGATGCCGAGGAAGTGTGATCAGAAGGCTCTGGCTCGCGGTGGCGCCGGTGAGGCCGCCGTACACTGAGCGGCTGAACCGACACTGATGACGTCGATGAGACGGGCACCTGAGACGCCGTAGAAGTAGCCTCAGCAAGGGGTGTAGGCTCTTGAATCAATGGAGCACTCATGGGTGGAGCAGTAGATGCTGATAATGCGGGAGACGCATTGGTCACACTGCGACGACGAGTGATCAACTGCGACATCTATACACTTTTTAAACCATAAAAATATAACATTAGAAACTAATCCTTTCTTGCATTTGAAACTAATCACCACTTGGACTAATAAAAGTGAATACATTCTTGCGCCATGAAGTAAAGACACAAGAAAACCAAATGTACAGAAACACATGTTGGACTTCATCACTTTGAAGTTCAAGTATGAGAACTACATCAAGTCATCTAAATGGCGTTTAATCCAGAACTTATGAATGATATTATTCAACTCTCTTCATACTTAATCATGTCCTCCTTACACCTCCCCACTAGATAGAGAATGGAAAAACATGTGTTCAACCCCCCCCCCCCCCAAACCTAAAAGGAAAAAAAAAAAAAAATCCTAATTCCACTAAACTTTTTCAAACAATTTATTCTCAATAATGTTCAAATTAATATAAATTACCTTATTTTCCCCAAATAAAAGTAGAAACCACATTACTTTCAATCTCAATGGCGTTTAATCAACTAAACTAACCTTATTTCCCCAAATGAAGGTAGAAAGCACCATTAGTTTCGATGAACACAATATACAACTATGCACATCAATGATTTCAGTTTAAATGTAAAAACAGATATGAAGAGAAAACACACATGATAATTCGACATTTTAAAAGTTTCAAGCTTTTGCTTCTACGCAACATGGGTTAACCAACTTACAGAACACATAACACCATCAACAAGCCACAATCTTGTCACAACTACATAAATACATAACAACTTACACTTCTACGCAATATGTATATCATTACAGAACACATAACACTTCTAGGCAATATATATATCATTACAAAACATTGGAGAAAATTTTGACCATGAGGCTTATTATGATATGGCTACGTTATTAGCCATATTTCCTTATAAATGTTATTAACTTTATGTAACTGGCTATATATAAAGGTGATGGCCAACAATCGTCTGCGTTGCAAAATGACAAGTGGTGTCATCTCCTCTGTTGATAGAGGAATACTATTTGGGTAGATGCGTAGCATGAAACATCTGGAGATCTCTTACTTTATCTTGGACTCTTCAAGAAAGAATTAGTCTTTATCGTGTGGTCATGGAGGAAGTGTTGGACCTTATCTAGAACTTGGGAACCCTCCCCTCTTACTCGCATGCCCTATGGGCTCTAGTGTGCAGGGGGTAGTCCACCGCTCCCTCCCGGAGGGGAGTGGGGTGATATGTTGAGGGGTCAAGCGTTCTGCTGAAACATTTTTCTATTAATTGGGCATTGAGTCTAATAGGGCCATCAAGTAACCCAATAAATGAACAGAGCAACCAAGGGCAGAAATCCTATCCACCACTTGAAAATCAGCAAAGAAAAATAAACAAGTAAATAGAGATCTCCAGATGGATACTCTATTTATATAGGAAAAGCCAAGGTATCACATGGTTGGTCTTAGTTGGATTTTATAACATTGTTAGAAACTTTTCAGCCCTGAACCAAAAGTTTATACATTTTAGTTCTGAAAATTTTCCAAATAAGTCATTAAAGGAATCAAAATTCTGTATGAGGTGACTGCCTCTAATTTTTCCAAATAATTAGTCTTTTTTTCTGAAATTATGAAGATAAAAAGCAAGAAAGTAAGCAAAACCCTGATCGAAAACAGTGAGAGTTCTATACCACAGACACAGAACACTTAATAAGGTAAAAACCATCAAGGAAAAACACCAGTGAAGTTGTTGCCGCTTATGCAGTCAAGGTATCGTCTGAAAAAGAAAAAGAAAACGGATGGCAAGCAATTCCAAAACCAAAGGGACAGTCGTCAAAAGATCCTACTATCTGTCAACATCATCTTGATCTTTGGTTCTATGAAAGTGAAACAGAATATGATAAAACTATAAACATGTACCTAATGAAGCTATATCCATGTATTTGTCACTGAAGGCATTTTAAGTTCATCAGCCGCATATGCATCCTTAATTAAAATCAAATTAATAAAAGCCTGTTAAAAAGGTCCTTAATTAACACGGCATATGCATCCTTAATTAAAATCAAATTAATAAAAGCCAATTTCATGTTCATACACAAAACACACATACATCAACAAAATACTCAGAAATCAACTTGCAATTTGAGCCTAAACCCTAAATAACAAAAACTCATCGAAAATCAGAAACCCTTACCTTGATTTTGGGACTTGATTCGTGTCGGCTTCGAGATTTGTGTGAAGCCTACTGGGCGCGCCAAAGCTCACCGAGCACAATTTTAATGAATATACCCAAAAAATCCTCAAGAATTTCAGTGAAGGATTTGCCTTTTTGAAAGTTGTTGAAGCTGGTCTTGAGCATGTACTCCACGGTGTGCCGGAGCGGGCCACGACGATGGCGTTGGTGGTTGATTCTGCAAGGAGGTCAGTGTACCAATTCAAGATGCGGTTGTGGTTGTTGTAGAAGGAAATGAAGCACCCGATGACGGGATAGCTCGGTGGACCTTGGCACGAAAACTCATAGACTCGCAGGAATCTCGAAAAAAGCGCATGCAAAACATAGAGAATCATTGCAAAGAAAACAAAAAAATGTAGGATGCGTGAAGAGTGATATGAAATTCCACATCTTAGACATCGTTTGGGTTCAAGATTTGTTAAGAGGAAAGACAGGTTTAGGTTCGAGATTGTGAAGAGGAAAGATTTGGGGTTCAAGATTTATGAAGAGGAGAGAAGGAGATCTGGGGTCTACAGGAAAAAAAAGGGGATGGGATTCTGGGTTCAAGATTTGTGAAGAGGAAAGAGGGAGATAAAGAGGGCAAAGTGGAAAATTTTGGAAAAATCGAAAAAAAGCGCCTAATTTTCACCATTGAACCGCCAAAATTAGCACACCTTGCGCGACGTAGGTGTTTAATTCGACGTCGCGCAAAAGTTGTTTGCACGACAATCGTACTAAGGCGTCACGCAAAGTATTTAATTGGAAAAAAAAATTAATATAAAAATTACCAAAAATGTGACTTTCCTCCTTTCAAATTCAATTTTTTTTAAACATAAACCCCACAATAATATATTTTTCTAACAAAAACCCACAATAATTTTTTTTCTTCATATATACAGTCAATTTGTTAAGTATTATAAGTACGAAATAAATAAATAAATTAAAATCTACTTAGTAAATATATATACCGTTGAACTTCATAAGAAAAGAATCGTATGAAACTAGTTTCAAAGATCCAACCGTCAAACTTGTTTGTATATGCTTCGAGATCGCATCAGCCAAAAATCGAAAAAAATAAACATGCAGAGATAAAGTAATGGGACAAAAATTTTCAACAGTTATAAACGAAAAATCACGATTTAACGGTTATTTTAACTCCGATTTTGATGATTTTTTATAACTACACTCCTTGACCCTATATGAATACAATGAATGAATTCGATCTTCAATTTAAAATATTTACACAAGTGGATACCACAAAATCTTATGTTATACTTAATGAAAGTATAAATAAACTCTAACTGTTAGTCAATCTATCGTTTTACGAATTCTCCAAAACTAATTTCAACGATCCAAACCGTCAAAATTGTTTGTATATGCTTGGAGATCACATCAGCAAAAAATCACAAAAAAAAAAAACATTCAGAGATCAAGTAACGGGACAAAGCTTTTCAACGGTTATAAACGAAAAATCATGATTTAACGGTTATTTTAACTCCGATTTTGATGATTTTTTATAACTACACTCCTTGACCCTATATGAATACGATGAATGAATTCGATCTTCAATTTAAAATATTTACACAAGTGGATACCACAAAATCTTATGTTATACTTAATGAAAGTATAAATAAACTCTAAGTGTTAGTCAATCTATCGTTTTACGAATTCTCCAAAACTAATTTCAACGATCCAAACCGTCAAAATTGTTTGTATATGCTTGGAGATCACATCAGCAAAAAATCACAAAAAAACACATTCAGAGATCAAGTAACGGGACAAAGCTTTTCAACGGTTATAAACGAAAAATCACGATTTAACTGTTATTTTAACTCCGATTTTGATGATTTTTTTATAACTACACTCCTTGACCCTATATGAATACAATGAATGAATTTGATCTTCAATTTAAAATATTTACACAAGTGGATACCACAAAATCTTATGTTATACTTACTGAAAGTATAAATAAACTCTAAGTGTTAGTCAATCTATCGTTTTACGAATTCTCCAAAACTAATTTCAACGATCCAAACCGTCAAAATTGTTTGTATATGCTTGGAGATCACATCAGCAAAAAATCACAAAAAAAAAACATTCAGAGATCAAGTAACGGGACAAAGCTTTTCAACGGTTATAAACGAAAAATCATGATTTAACGGTTATTTTAACTCCGATTTTGATGATTTTGTATAACTACACTCCTTGACCCTATATGAATACGATGAATGAATTCGATCTTCAATTTAAAATATTTACACAAGTGGATACCACAAAATCTTATGTTATACTTAATGAAAGTATAAATAAACTCTAACTGTTAGTCAATCTATCGTTTTACGAATTCTCCAAAACTAATTTCAACGATCCAAACCGTCAAAATTGTTTGTATATGCTTGGAGATCACATCAGCCAAAAATCACCAAAAAAAAACATTCAGAGATCAAGTAACGGGACAAAGCTTTTCAACGGTTATAAACGAAAAATCACGATTTAACGGTTATTTTAACTCCGATTTTGATGATTTTTTTATAACTACACTCCTTGACCCTATATGAATATGATGAATGAATTCGATCTTCAATTTAAAATATTTACACAAGTGGATACCACAAAATCTTATGTTATACTTAATGAAAGTATAAATAAACTCTAAGTGTTAGTCAATCTATCGTTTTACGAATTCTCCAAAACTAATTTCAACGATCCAAACCGTCAAAATTGTTTGTATATGCTTGGAGATCACATCAGCAAAAAATCACAAAAAAAAAAAACATTCAAAGATCAAGTAACGGGACAAAGCTTTTCAACGGTTATAAACGAAAAATCACGATTTAACGATTATTTTAACTCCGATTTTGATGATTTTTTTATAACTACACTCCTTGACCCTATATGAATACGATGAATGAATTCGATCTTCAATTTAAAATATTTACACAAGTGGATACCACAAAATCTTATGTTATACTTAATGAAAGTATAAATAAACTCTAAGTGTTAGTCAATCTATCGTTTTACGAATTCTCCAAAACTAATTTCAACGATCCAAACCGTCAAAATTGTTTGTATATGCTTGGAGATCACATCAGCAAAAAATCACAAAAAAAAACATTCAGAGATCAAGTAACGGGACAAAGCTTTTCGACGGTTATAAACGAAAAATCAGGATTTAACGGTTATTTTAACTCTGATTTTGATGAATTTTTACAGCTACACTCCTTGACCCTATATGAATACAAAGAATGAATTTGATCTTCAATTTAAAATATTTACACTAGTGGATGTGGATATCACAAAATCTTATATTATAATTTATATACTTAATAAAAGTATGAATCAACTATAATATTAATAATTATATACATTAATTTAATAATTTTATATCCCTAAAAAGTAAAAACTATAATAATTATATAGATGTAGGTGTAAATTGAATACAATTTCATGATGATCGATGTAAATTGAAGATTTTGTAAATGGAGGTGTAAACTTTTGAGAAAGACTTACAATCTTAAAAACAAAAACTCTTTATCCTTGCACATTTAATATTTGTAATATATTAGTAGTGTATGTATTATTTTTTTTATTAGGCTTTTATTTTCGAGTGTAGATATTGTACTTGAACGAGAAATGTTTTAATGTTTTGAAGTAATATTTATGTAGCAATGTGTGGTATGTGCAAATTTAAAAAAAATATATTTTTTTGTAAATGGAGGTGTAAATGGAGGTGTAAACTTTTGAGAAAGACTTACAATCTTAAAAACAAAGTCCGTATGCCTTTTTTCCCTAAATTTTAAAGAGCAAATGAATATGCAGTCATGTGTCTCAAGTTTGCAAACACACTTTCAGCCAATTTCAACCCCAAAACCAAACACCAAACCAAAATTATCATGCAAATTTCTGCCCTCTCCACCATTTTCCAAGGTAAATTAGTGACTCAAATGGGTCCTTAAGACAGGACCCCTCTGCATCTATATGTATACTACACTACACAAACTTCACATTCATTTAACCATGAGAGGGCATGGCCTATAGCTCATCGCTCAGCTGGCCATTTTAGACCCCGATACAAAAAAAAGGCACTCAAAATTTTATTTATGACACAAACGATGACAACATGTTTAAGCTTAAGTTGCCAAAACTGGAACTCTCTTGATTCCTGTAATGTTCGAGCGAGAAGCATAGCTGCCTTATAGATATACGCTCATTGGCATGCTGTTAATCTATGTTCCTCTCCACGTAAGCCTCAATATACGCTCATTGGCAATCGTGGCTGTACTCGTGTGCATCTGGGAGCTCGTCCACAAAGGTAAAAAGGAAAGAGTGTTATTGAGGATGAGGGGAATTTTATGGAGTTTATACTATCCACCCCCAAAAAAAAAGATTTTTTGCCCATTCCTTGAAATTGCTGGATTAAGTCTCTTGAACTCACCTCTGCCTGTAATGTTGTGGCTTTGGTGTTGAGCTCATATCTTTCTGTTTTCATTGCATCAAGGGCCTTGTTTGAATTCTCCATTTGGTTGCTTCACTCAAGGATGACTGCCTTCAACTGTGCGATCTCGCCATTCAGTCTCTCCTCCATTTCTGCTTTTCCAGACTTCATCTGTCTGATTTCGTCTTCCAACAACCGAGCACGAGATTCCCAGTCTTTAATTTGCTCCTTTAAAAGTAATAAAAATAATAACAGACAAAATCGATTGTTCAAGAAACAAGACATCAAACAAATTCATTCACCAAAAGAAAATAACACCGAATGAATTGCTCAAACAGATTTGCACTACTACGCTAGCAATCAATAATATGTGTTTATGTATGTCAATCTCTCAGTGAATATTATCACCATACTCTTTCCAACAAAGTTATTTGGAAAGATTTAATGGGCTATGAATTAATGATACATCTTACTATAACCTACCGTGGAACAGGTACATACAACTAACACTGCAACAAGTACCAAATCCAAAATGCACAAGCTATTAACTGAAAAGATAATTTACCGTTCCTCTGCTGATGTTCTGTGATAAATAATGGTCTCCTCTGAATTTGGATCCGCATGATATTGCCCATAAAATGCATAAGTACCAACTACAATGATGCTGAGGATGACAAATCTCACCCATGCTTCATGGTGTATCTGCAATAGAATAAATTTTCTCACTCGTCTGCTTTTTTTTATTTTAATTCTTTGATTTCATTCCTTTTGTTAGCAGTTTGTTTAAAGTATATTATAAGTGTACCTGAGCAAAAAGAAACATGTTGAAGAAGATACATCCCAAAGCACATAATGTGGACAAAGCTTGTCAGAAGTAAAGAGCAGCAAGAGCAAGTATTGCCACAACTATAGTTAGGACCAGAAAAATGATTGAAGCACTAAATCTGTAGCAGAGTCCGGCACCAAAACCACTGCATGCCACTATGAAGAGGCAAATGACACCTTCTCGCCAGGCAGAAGAAGATACTTCATTTGCTGCCTTATCTTTCAAACGAAGAGAAACAACACATGCAGCAACAACAGAGTAGCCCGTCTGAACAAGCAAGAGTACAAGGTTAGGTGCATACAACCGAAATTATTAGAAACAAAGAAATACCCTATAATACTAATCTTAGAAGAAGGCTCAAAATCCATGCAACTATTCCTACAGTTTTACTATTATCCATCACATCATGCCATGCACAGTGCAACTGAAAGTTCCTCTTTAATGAAACGGAAGTTAACATAATGTTGTTGGAAATGCATGTATCTTATTGTAATGTCAAAATATTTGACCCAGCCTCCACCAATATCATAAAGAAGAATTGAACAGCCTCTCTAAACCAAAAAAAAATTTGGGCAATGACTTACCAAGGACCTAACTGAAAGAATGTGTGAAAGAATCTTCACATTGAACAACCCTGCCAAAATGCCAGCAACAATACCAACCCAGATCTGAGAATGAATGGGAGTGCGGAGTTTTGGGTGTACTCTAGCAAACAATGAAGGTAGTAAACCATCTCTTCCAAGCCCAAGATACAATCGAGACTGTTCACAAGAAAACCCATAAGTTACTACATGATGAGAAGACACTCCAACTAAGTCACTCATAGGGATAAAATGGTTCACCTGAACATACAAACCAACTAGAAGGGTAGTCGTCAGTCCAGCAATAGCACCTACACTGATTAAGATTGAAACAAATTTCAACTCCTTGGATGTAAAAGCATTAGCCAACGGAGCGTCTTCCCCAAGTAAATAAAATGGTACCAACTCAAATGAAAAGACATCACAACCTTCCATGAGACTAACATAAAACATAAAACTTACATGATATCTTTATCTTTATAGAATGGAGACGATCAGAAGATTTGTTGGGAATATTAACATGGGTAGATGAGAAGCGGTGTTAAACCCCAAGCCTCCTGCTTTTGCCTTTACAAGTTTATATTAATCCTCATCCGAACTACAATAATAACTCTCGCTATCTTCACTACTATCATTTTCGGATTCTCATTCGTCCTCATCTTCATTTGCCTCTTCTGGTGCATTGTATTGAGGCAAATCACCAAGGTCAATTGATATTTCGAATTCGGGTACTCCAGGTATGTCAAACGGTTTTTCGACAATATTAGTATCTCGGAGTGTTTCTTCACCAATTTCTATCGAAGATGATAACTGTTGGTCAGCAATGTCGTCGTTGTCATCATGATCTAGTTCCGGAATATCATATAGCCCTCTTCGCTCAATCTTCTGAACAACTTTCCAACCATTGCCGGCTTTAGGGTCATCTAGATAGAATATTTGTTTCGCCATAGTTGCCAAAATGTATGGGTCTTCATCGTACCAATGTGTCGTAGTGTTTACTGATAGTAAACCATGATCTCGCTTAACACTCGTTCGGTTATGTGGGTTTGTATCAAACCAAAGGCACTTAAACAGTATCACTTGACACCTATCTTTGTAAAGCAATTGTACTACACTAGTTAGTTTGCCATAAAAATCAATGTCTTCACTGTCGCCCGCACCCGGGACATAAACACCACTATTTTGAGTAGACGACTTGTCATCACGTGTTGCCCCCAAGAACTTGATCCCGTTTACATGACAACCCGAGAACAATTCAACGTGAAGCGGTCCTCTCGCCAAGTTATATAATTCTTCATCGTAAGAGGGTGAATTCAATTCCTTCAATTTGTTCATCTAATATGACATATACAAAAAGTTAACATATTAGTGTAACCAAATTTAAAGAAATGCATCAACAAGTTGGAAAATATGCTCATTTCAAACCACATACAACTTACATGTGCGTGAAACCACGAAGGAAACAAGTCACGGTGCTTCTTAGCATATAAATGTGAAGGATGTTCCCGCTTCATCAATTGTTCATGCTCGTCAAGGTAAGGCAAAGCCTCGTCACAATTATTGAGTATAAACCAATGCGCTACCTCCATGTCATTTTTGGTAAACGATTCGCCACTTACAGGATCACCAAATGGTTGTGCAATTTGGGCAAAAACAGACAGTTTCTCTTTTCTGACACCACCATCATTATTGCGTTGAGGGCGATTGAAAGTTGTCTCAACATCTTCAAGATACATTGCACAAAAAGTAAGTGACTCATATGCAACCCATGCCTCCACCAGTGATCCTTCGGGCTTTGCCCTATTTCGAACACACTTTTTCAACTCACTAAGATATCTGCACAAATAAGAGGTATGCAACATATTATTCAAAGCGTTCATTGATCATGAATCTGTTATATATATAGACGCTTAATTAAGTACCTTTCTATTGGATACATCCATCGACAGTTCACTGGTCCGGCAAGCAATGCCTCATCTGACAAGTGAATCATCACGTGAATCATACTTGTAAAGAAAGCTGGGGGAAATATCTGTTCGAACTTGCATAAGACGTTCACAATGTCTTCCTGCAATTGTTTAACATCTGATTTCCGCAAACTCCTTGCAGTCAACTGCGAAAAAAATCTCGACAACAATACGATTGGTTTCACCACATCAAGAGGCAATAAGTGTCGAATACCAACCGGAAGAAGGCGTTGGAGTATCACATGACAGTCATGACTCTCCATGTTTGAAAATTTACACCCCTTCACATTCACGCAATGCGAGATATTGGAAGCATACCCATCTGGAAACTTTACAGAAGAAATAAAGTTGAAAAACTCTTTCTTCCCATTCGGCTTAACTGTAAAAAATGGATGGCTTTTCTTCAATGTACCACCGACTCTCTTCATCCACAAGGATGATCTAATGCCCATTCGTTCCAAATCGAGGCGGGCTTCGATGGTGTCCTTGGTTTTTCCTTCAATGTCTAGAATTGTCCCGACCAAAGTATTAAACACATTTTTCTCAATATGCATAACATCGAGGTTGTGTCTCAATTTTAACTTTGACCAGTACGGGAGCTCAAATAACATACTTTTATGTGTCCAGTTCAAATGTGTAGTTGGTCTGGGCTTACTGACCCCTTTGCCGAAATGACCGAATTCCAATCGATTTAACTGATCCAAAATCTCATCTCCGGACCATTCTCTTGGTCTTGGCCGAGTCTCTTTTGTGCCATGGAAGGCTTTATCATTATGACACCACTCATTATCCCAAGGGAGCCATCTACGATGACCAAGATAACAAACTTTTCTCGCATGCCAGGACGATGTTACGTTCTCCTTGCATATTGGACATGCCAAATAACCTTTAGTCATCCACCCAGAAACCATTGCATACGCGGGAAAATCGTTTACTGTCCACATCACTGCCGCTCGCATGGTGAACATCTGCCCAGTATACTTATCGTACGTACGAACACCATTTTCCCATAAATCTTTTAGCTCATCAACCAATGGCCGCAAATAAACATCAATAGACTTTCCTGGATCTTCGGTAATTAATAGAGTCAACATCATGTATTCTTTTTTCATGCACTTCCAAGGCGGCAGATTATAAGGAAAAACAACAACTGGCCAAGTGCTGTGGATTTGGTTTAAAACCCCGAACGAATTAAATCCGTCGGTGGCAAGTCCCAATCTGACGTTGCGCGGGTCAGCTGCAAAATCAGGGTACATCCGATCAAATTCTTTCCATGCCTCTCCATATGCAGGATGCCTCATAACATCGTCATTTACCCGTCCTTCTTTATGCCATCTCATGTCGGTTACAGTATGCATCGACATGTACAATCGCTGCAACCTAGGCTTCAATGGAAGATAACGCATTACTTTTTGTGGAATCTTAGTCTTTCTATTCTGTGATGTCACTTTAAACCTCGGCTCATTGCAGACAGGGCATTTATCCAACTGTTTGTTCTCTTTATAGAACAATATACAATTATTTACACATGCGTGAATTTTTTCATACCCCAATCCGAGACCCTTCAACACTTTTTGGGCACTTTTATGATCTTCAGGTAAACAATTCTCCTTTGGGAGCATCCTCTTGATAACTCCCAAAAAGTAATCAAAGCACTTGTTTGACAAACGAAACTTGATCTTACCATGCATCAACTCCACAATTGCTATGAGCATTGAAAAGTTATCGCAACCTGGATATAATTCTTGCTTCGCATTTTTCAATAGTTTTTCATAGTTTTTGAATGCCTCATTGTCCATGGTTGGACGATCGTCATCTCCCCCTTCCTGATTGGTGTTGCTCGAGGCGTATGGATAAACGTCATTTAGAATATTCATAACTTGTTCACTAGGATCCACATTAGATTCAGCAGTCTCCACTCGTGTCACGTATGAAGACGAAGCTTGGTCTAATCGTTCTCCATGATGATACCAAGTAGTATAGGTCTCCATCATCCCATTTCTTATTAAATGAAATCGAACATTTTCGAATGTCTCCCACATTGAGTTGTTACACCTCCTACATGGACATCGGATATGAGTTGAAGCTAGGTTGTGTCTAGTGGCGAATTTAATGAACTCATCTATTCCATCCAAGTACTGAATAGCACATCTATTATGATTATGTATCCACTGTCTGTCCATTTTGTCTGCAATCCCAATAAAAGTACAAGAGTTACAACAACTTTAACTATTATTTTGTCACCTTATTCCTCCAGTAAGGGCCCTATCCCATTCGGGAATGCACAGTTATGTGTCGTAATTTACGATTCCAATGGATTAAATTTTGACGTGGGCTAATTTCGGCAGCATCTCCTTACAGTTCTTCAAGTGCACGCTTTAGATACATAATATCCACCGTGTACTCGAAGAACATCAAGAAATGTTACCAAAATTTCCACTATCGAAACTTAATCCATGAACCGCAAACTACAACA